ATGGACATTCAGAGAAAGACAAATTACTACCTTGTGAGAAAGGAAAAGATTATGAGCTTCATTCACTACTGTAAAGATATTCAATGCCTTGCATGGGAGAGAGTGCACAGTAGCTAAGCATAGTTAATCAAGATTCAAAAAGGAAAGCAGAGAACTCCAATATTCTCCTTTTTCTTCTATTCACTGAAAAAAAAGAGCACTAATCCACCACTAAATGCAGAATCAAGAAATCCAATTCCCCTTTCCCTCCCTCTCTCCTCCCTTCCCCCAGCTCCAAAAGCAGAATGTGCATAGAAGGACTTCCCGTACTGAGTGTAGCACCTGGGTAATTATGAATTACAACTGTGCAAACCACTGTACTAAATAGAGATGCTTGCCACTTAATTAAACCCTTTCTTAGAGAGGAAATGCATACACATTCACACTATCTCCTCTTCTTAATTGGTCTCAGACATTGCAGGAAGTTAGTCCCCAAGATTTGTCAGCCAGCCAGCCCACAGATGTTTCAATAAGAAAACCAGATCAGCATTACCAGGTTCAGTTCTTGGGCTTGAGGTGACAGGTCAGCAGATCAGTGTCTGCTGTCTSCAGCTGGCAGGCTCCACCAGGAGAAAATGGTCCTTCAGCATTGGCCACAATTCCTGCCAAACTTGCACTTCCCTTGGCTGGCCTGGGCAGTGAGCTCCACTAACAGCCACGGCAGCTCAATGAGATTTCACTGCTGCATCCACCCTGTAGGGCTTGGTGGGCACTCTCCAAAGCCAAACCACAGCAAACCCCTCTGGGACAGCCTCACATCATCAGCACTGGGGGACCAAGAGCTGCCTGACAAGAGAACCACGGCTCAGGAATGCCCAAGCTCATGCCCAGAGTCTCTGAGCTCCACCAGAGTCCAAGCACTCTTCTCTTCTCTCCTCTCCTCTTCTCTTCATCAGCCTCACCTCTCATTTCCACACTGCTCCATGACCTTCAGAAAAGGACAGCTGAGATCTCCACTGTGCCCTGATGCAAAAAACTGAAATGATTCCGAGAAGTTCTATCAACAAAATCTTTTGTTTTGTCCCACACATAAACACCAAGCTTGAGCTGATGGTACCACTGGAAACAGAAAACAAAAGGAAAGACTGGCTTCAACAGGCCATGATCAATATATCTGAACACCAATATAAAATGATTCTGCTGTGTATACAAAGATCTTTGAGCTCAGCAGAAGTAAAAACTTTATACTCATTACTTCCCTTAAAAAAACCACCAAACAAAATAACAAACAAACAAAAACCCTACATCATACATTACTATTTATTATCTCAAAAAAGAAAAAAAGCTTGGACTAAAACTCCTCTGAAGCTGTTGTCTGTGGCTCACCTGACGTTCTTCATGCAACTATATAACTTTTCAGCCAAACTCCAATCCTTCAAGACTTGCAATCTTCTGCCACTTACAGAATAACACAAAGACAAATTTAGCATTAAGCCTTGTCAGCTGCTATCAATGGTTATCAGTACCTCCAGCATCTGAATTACTGCCTCAGCTTTAACAAATACCTGATGCACATCTTTYTGCATCACTCAGGACCCCAGGGTATATCTATTTAAAAACAGCAAATGGCTTGCCTAATTCATTAGAAGACCAAAACAATATCAACCAAACACAGACAAACAGCAGCAAAACAGGCTTATTTAGATTAATAGCTCACAGAACAAGAATCCTCGTTTTTTATCTGTGTATCTTCTACATGCTGCAGAAAGGAAAGTCAGAACAATTATAGTGCTGCTCTGGGAATGCAATTTTAAGGGYTGGGCTGGGGAGAAAAGAACCAGGCTGTGAAGAGCTCCTATTAAACAAGACAAAATGAAGAATATTACAAATATTCTCAAATATTTTCACCTAGAGAAACACTCTGTTTGATATTCCATTAGAGAAATGTGCACAAAAACTGTTTCCATACGAAGCTACAGCCCTGAATACTGGACAAGGAGAGGAGGACTGCGTGCAGGCAGCATTAAACAGAGTTTAAAAGCTCTGCCGGCAGCAATTTGCAGCCTTCCCAGAGCAGTGCCCTTCCCAAAGCTGGTGGATTCAATCCCAGGCTGGARCGATCCCGGTCCCTCCCGCTGCAGGAGAACGGGCGCCATCGCGTGGGAATTTTGCGTTTTGTCACCAAATAAAGCCAACGCTGTCACCCAAAAACTCCCTCCAGTATTTTTCTGATAAAATGTATCAACTGTTCAATGGCAGAAGAAGAACCGCGGGGAAAATATCTCTAAGCTAATAGTGCAATTCTAAAAAAACCCCAATGTGTCGTGATTAACATGGTTTGTCAGTGAAGATGGTCAATGACTCAATTATACAAATATTGGATTTTGAAGAAATACAAACTGCATCAGCACATCCTCGAGAGACAGAGTAAAAGAAGTTTTCTCAAAACAATCTTTTCTTAATAACAGTCCTACAAAAACCGTATATAAATATCCTTTAATAGGATAGTATGCTCCAAAATAACTAAGGCTTTCTACTCACAGAGAAAGAATTTCAATTTCTTGTGGTTTTTGAACAGTTTGAAACCAATCCTACACAGAAATATCAAGTCAGACCAACATATGACAAACATATGAAAATCCCTGGCAGCATAATAGTAACACCCAATAAAGACTTCTATCCACAGCAAAAATCAGAGCCAACCATACTGCAAAGTAGGCAGTAAGAAGCTCAAGAAATGAGAAGGGCATACAATTGAACACAAAAAAAATGACATAGATCTATAATGTGTTCACATGAATCATACAGAACACATATGATGTGTACTCTTTTATTATCTGCCTACTGTGCAGCACAGGGATATTTTGCTACAGAGCTACAGCTGTCTTTGTTTCCACTGTTTATGAGGAGAGGAAAGCCCAGGAGCTTACAAGTGCAATCCAGAACTAGCAAACATAAGATTAGCCAGAGTCAACTGTTAATGAAGTTGTTTTCCCCCCACAAGGTGAAGCATTATAAACACTCTTGCATTGTCACCAAAAAGAGACCAGTACTAAAAACAGTAGGATTACCACYACACTCCTGAAAGCTGCATCTCCTTCCCAAGTATTATTACATAAAATTACACTGCAAGGGTTGATCATAAGCCAATCTGACAAAAAGCCTGCTGGGAGCAGGCAATCAGTGAACAGAAACCACTGAGAGCAGACACTGAACAAGCCCTGTGGAAGTGCTGGAGGAAATGAAAAATCATCCTCTCCTAAAATGCTGCATGCACTTCCCTTACATCCTCTGTACTAATGAAGAACCTGATAAGAAAAGATGAGAAATCCTAATTTATTCCCCTTTTCCTTTCTTATCAAGTTATTAGCAAACAGAACATTGCTCTGGCTCTTTGGGACAATCAGCCAACTTGTTCCTGTTTCTTTTCTACTATGAGATGGGCAATTAACTCTTCTCAAACTTTCACCAACAGCATTCTCCAGGAACCAACGAGAACAATGATCTCTCATCATCTTCATCATCCTGACTAAAAATTAATGTAATTCATGCTGTAAGAAATCAGAGCAAGGGGAAAAAAAGAAAAAAGAAAAAGAACATTGAGGGAGGGAGGGGGGAATCATCCAGTCCCACTTGCTCCAATTACATGCAWAAGGTGATTTTTCTCAAGAGCAATTCCCCTTTCTGTAGAAGGTGCCATTAATAGCACTAAACAATATGGCCCAATCACAAAACCAGCACTTCACAGTGAATATTCTGATTTTAAATGAAGGAGTTATTAGACTTCAACAGGCAGAATCACTTGGTTCCATTTCTCTCCCAGTGTGAAATTACATCGTTAAACCTTTAACAGCTTGAGGTAAGTAAAAAGCTTTTACTCCAAAAGGCTTTGTGAAAAGGATTCCTACAATTTCTACCCATAGCATATGAGATTTAGATGAAGATGGAATTGTGCTAAATGTATGGATCTTCAGCAGATGCAGGAGAGAACCTGTAGCATGCCTCTGGAAAATGTTYGTTATCCTCATTAAACAACAAATACTAAGAAAATTAAGGGGGCTTTCCCAAGTTGGAGCACAAGTGTCTTTTGCATGAAGTAGTGATGTGCCCAAACCCTCTGTGCACATSCAAACATTCCTGCTCCCCAACAATCCACAGCTCTGTGGTTGGGTATGAGTAAAGATGAATCAGAGGAACAACTCTCAAGATGAGTTCTGCTCTGTGTTCCAGCTTTGACCCAATAGGAAAGGTGAGCAGTGCTCACATCAAAACAGTTATAAACAAAGAAGCATCTCCTTTTTCAGTGTGGTAACACTGTAAATATTTAGAGAAAATAAAGCAGTGTTGAAACACAGCACAGGAAACATCCACAAATACACAGAACACTTTCTGCAGCAGAAGAAAATTATCAGAGATTGCACTGTTTCRAGCTCCTTTTAATATCACATACACAGTGACCATAAAAAATCTRGTTCACTGCTCCAGGTGTCAGGAGGAGCTGTTAAATACCAGCACAGGGACCAGTTGGTGTTACAAAACACARTTGGAGAAGGGTTTGACAAAGTAACTAAAAAAACATTTCTTCAGCTGGTTTAGAGAAGAAAGGTCACAACATCATCTAGCAGCTAATTTTAATACCCAGATTTCAAAGGAAATATGTTTACAACRATTTGTCACAAGTAGCACACATTCTCTTCTCTGGGCATCTAAAATTCTTAGAAATTCACTTATTAAGCAAGCAGCATAAACAAAAATGCAGCTACACACAAGAAGTTTCAAGAACTCAAAACTGAACCCCAGCCTCAGAGAGTCTGCTCAAACTGACTTGGTGAAAAATATTGGTTAATTCCCAAACTTTCTTTAAAAATGTCTATCTTATTTTCTTCACATATATAATGAACTGTACTAGAAGAAAGGATAGCAAGAAAGCATGACCAACACACTTAAGTAATCACTCAGGAGATTAAGAGGAAAGGAAAGGGTTTAGAAATCTGTCTTCCCTCCAGAGCTGTAACACATACCTGATATTTAAGCCAGTGCTCTGGTCCAGTTTCTCCCAGCTTTGTAATTTTGCCAGAAGCTTCTAAAGTAAAGATTAAAAGCAGAGTTAGGCACAGCCAAATTTTCTAACAGCTCACTTCCCAGGGTTTTCTCGTAATCCTCCATTCCAAGTCAGTGTCATTCCTTCTCCTCCTGTGGATTTCCTGATCTTATTCAGCATTTTTCGTTTGTCATTCTCCAGCCCTGGGTATCAAGGTCCTGACCACACACCTGTTTGACACCACCATGTCTGGACACAGCCTGATGCTAAAAAAAGCTTTTCTAGCAAAAAAAGGTGAAAGAGAAACATCAAGGCTAGAACAGACACTATGATGAGATYATTCTTTACACAAAATCTCCAGCTGAACAGTAGATATCCTTTTGCTTTTTCCACCTTCACTGCCATAACTCCCCTCACGYTGAGTTTTCAGTTTGGGAATGCCTGGTTCCTGCCCATTAATTAAAAGAGATACCTGATCTTAACTAACACAATACAGGAAGAGCTTAAAAGTCAGGACAGGCAATAAAGGAAACCCCTGCTCTGCTCATCCACTAGCTCTTCCCAGCTCCTCACCTCATTTTCCAATTCCACAGTCACTAGCTGTGCTTGGACTTTCTCATAGCGTTCCAGTTTTCTTTGGAGACCTTCCACTTCCTCCTTAAGCAAACCATTGTTTTCTTTCATTTCCCTGGGGTGAAGAGAGAGACAATTACTAAAGGCTCATGTAGCTCAATTCCCTTTCACAAACTTCCAGATATACAGGAATCCCAAGGGAATCATGACATTGAACAGATATTCAACTGACTCATTTCTATCACCTGCAAAGCCACTGCTACCAAAAAAAAATTTAGAAAAAGCTGGCAAGATGATTCAGGTAATTTAAAAAACAACAACAAAAACAAAAACCACTTTAAGGCAAATCATTTTACATTGCATTTCATTTAGTTTTTCAAATTGATTGCCCTTCGGAAATCCAGAAAGCCTACTCTACCAASGGCTGTATCAGGCTGCTTTAGAAATTTAAACAGAATGCTTTCTAAACCTTATGCTGGAAGACCAGGCCTTTAAAATAGTGGTAACAACAGCTAGGCAAAGCCAATTATTAAAGAAACATTCAGCTGCCTCTTTTTCCTACAGGAAATTGTTCCTCCAAGCTGTATGGGCTTCATCACTACCTCTAAACATCAAACTTTGCTCAAACAAACCGAAATCACCACCCAGAACAATCAATGCACGTYCTGTGAGGCTCTTGTGCTCAAGAAGATCCCTCAGATCTTGTCAAATCCTCTCATCTAAGCACCACAACACTGTTCAATTCATATGCAGTATTTATATGAAACACTTCCTTCTGTTCTTTCCATGTGGAAACCCTGAAAGTGCACAAAGTGCAGCTGCAGGAGGTACAGAAGAACACAACCCTCAGCAACTGAACCCTTCCTTCACCTGAAGTAGGCATTTTCCTCCCTGAGTTGGCGCAATTCACGCTCCATTTTTGGGAAACGAGMCAGTTCTGCTTTCATGTTCTTGACAATTAGAGCATCATGTTCCTGCTGGGACAACTTCTGCTCCAGATCCTGGAAAACATGGGATGAAGGACAGCAATGAGCAAGTTGGAATTTGTAAGAGCTGTTTCTGCATTGTACTTTTTAAGCTCAAATCAAKSACATGAATAAAGTTGGAAGGAACTSAGTTGTAACACCTGGGYTGGCCTCTTCTCTACACCTGCTTATCCAAAGTTCATAACAAAAACCCCTCAGTTACTCATTAAAATGACCTTCTTCTATCAGCTAACCCAAACCTGTGATTTTCTTCTCCTTCAGTGGAGTGTAGAGGGAGGCTTTTGAATGGCCTGCAAGAATTAGGTACAAAAAGGAAACACAAATGTGCATTTTAACATTATGGTAAATGTTGGGGTTTCTTCCACTAAAAAAAAAATAAAAAGATTTCATTTCTGAATGCCTGGCTGTTTCAATTCATAGTACAATATTTCAGAAAAAAAAAAAAAAAAAAAAAACAACAAATTATTTAGGGTTGTCTTGCCAACTTACATCCTATTTTCCAGCCTTCCATTGCAATTAAGAGAATCCTCTTGCTGGCAATCAGGCTGGTTTTACAACAAGGCAATGCCACTGGCAGCACTGCTCAAACCAAAATAACTCTCCACATCTACCTCTGCCAGGAAGACAAGACAAATGAAAAATGTGCACTCCCACCAACCTAGAAAGCTCATTTGGAAGAACATAAAGCATCTCTATATGCATATTTAAGTTAGTGTGCTTTTGAAAGCTTCACAAGTAATTGCACTTTCTAAACACAACTGCAGAGGAAGGATTTTCTGGGAAGCAGAAAATAACTGTAGCTGCTGGGCTCATCATACACCATTTGAAAAAAGATCACTCTAGAAGCAGTCTTTTGCACAGCAAATTTGTGCTGTGGCACAAGACCAAAAAGAGCATTTCTCCAGAGCACTGAATAGGGATATAAATCATTTTTCCATAGAGAAAGTATGKTTTTTTCCCAATCAATAGATAACAACGAAGGCCAAGTGTTACAATTAATTGTAGATAACCTGGTCCACCCAGCCTCAACCCTTGTTAGGTACTTACATGACAAACTAACCTTTTACTTCTGCAAGAGCCAATATTTTAAAAAGCAGCATTCTGTTCTTCCACTGAAATAACTAAAAACTAAAGCTTTATATAGGTCACGAAGTTTTTTACCTTAATCTTCTGCTCATGTTCTGCCATTAAGGACTGGCTTGCTTGCAGTGTCTGGATTTGCTGACTTGCCTCCTGCCATTTCCTGTCASATGAAGATACAAGAGGCACTTGAGCACCCAGAAATCAGGCACCAGAAACAACCCACATTCAGAAGTCTTTGGTAAACAGTCAACAGCATTAAATAAGTAAATGTTACTGTTTTAGAAGATTTGGTCTTTCAGTTTCACATTGATCATCTCTAATTTAGGGGCAAAAATATCCATTCATTTTAATAACAAGATGCATATTGAGAAAAATACAAAAATCAAGGCACCTTAACTCTGAGAACAACAAATATACACTCAGAGTAAACAAACCTTCACAACTCTGAAATTGAAGASTTGTCAGTAAGCAAGAAAAAACATACTCATAACTTTCAATTACCCCTCCACTCTGATTTAAGACTTGGTATTTCTGTTCTGTTCAGTCCATAAAGTTCAGATCAGCCTTTCCCACCCACGTGCCTTTTGTTAACTCTCCACCAGGAACACAAAACATCACTGAGATTTAAAGCTCAAGTTTGTGGGTTTTTTTCCTCAAGGTACAATTAAAATTGCACCTCAGAGCTGGTTTCAAACAACGGTTATAACCTGCACATCCAGATCAAAGAACCCCTTTGAAGAGCAGAAATCAAACGCTGTTGAAAGTTTTCTGAGTGATGACAGCTGCACAAGACTGAAGTTCTCTTTGCCTTTTTCTCCCTATAGTCATTCATCCCTTGCTTACTTTTTTTCAACATCCAGCTGCTCCATCAGTTCCTGCTTCTGAGAGTCTTGGCTTGTCATCTGCATCTCTTGGTTCATTATATTCCACTGCAGATCTGATATTTTCCCTTTCAATACAGTGATTGTCTGAATTAATGGGGAAATAAAAAAAGAAGCATAAACACATAAGGTTGTGACTCTCCAAGCTGGATATTATGGACGGTGATAGAAATAATTTCCAACTAAAAAGGACTAACACTGAACCCTAGAAACAATCCCACACTATTGCAAACCTTCAGACCTGCAAACCTACCTCAAACAAAGGCAAGAGAAAATAATTTTGCACTTTCATTAGTCATCCAAATTGTCATTTACGTTATCTCTTATGTGGGTGACCTCAAACTGGCATGAAAAATATCAAACTTTAAAGTTAGATGGTGTTTTTTTCTAAATATTTTAACTCTAAAGAAAAGCTCACAGGTTGTTTCCAACAGCCATTACTCAGCTCCCTGTAATGGAGAAAAAGAGAAATATCTCAAAACATTACATCTGTAGGGTGTCTTCTAGACACAGACAGTTAGGGTTCTCATCTTGTAACTGATGGAGATGGAAATAAAAGARCACAGAAACAGAACTGCAGCACACATCTTTTAGGTGTGTTTAGTTTCTCTTATGTGCCATTACTATCTCCCTGGTTTCAATCACTGGTAAATGGAACTGGAAATTTGTTCATAATGTTGGTCTCATCCACTCTGCTGTTCTCCCTACTTAGCTGAACACTTTCCCATATTGTCTGTTCCACCACTGTCCCTTTCTTCACTTCATGCCATGTGACCTGCACTTCTGAACCCAGATGCTYTATGTTGCCTCCCACTTTTTTCTCCCCTATATCAGCTTGTCTAAGAAATCTCTGACTTGCTCATCTGTGTGTGGGCTTGGTTTGGTTGTAAACCTTGACACAAAAGCCACACACCACTAGGTTTATTCATTTCCAAGTGATGAATACAGTGTTCCAGTTATTTTGTTTGAGGGTTTTTTTTAATAAAAAAAGGCATTTTCAAGTCACAAGAACTGCAAAGTCACCTGAAGCTATGGATGGATTAAAAATTACTCTGTTCTTACTTCATTAGCTTCGGCTAATTTGCTCTCCTTCTCTTGCAGCTTCTTACTCATTGTCTCCATGCTCTTCTTATAAGATTTGTTCATCTCCATTTGTTCTTTCAGTTTATTTTCAGCCTCTGTTTCCCTTTCCTGGTACTGCTTTATGCGTGTGAGCAGCTCCTGGTTACGATCGGCCTCTCGCTGGTCAAGGGAAAAAACACAAAGAGATGTAAGAAGAAAGCAGCAAAAAGGTGAAACCATTTTTCCTTCTTCTGTCATTGCTCCTCATTACCAAAGACACCAATGGCAATTGCTCCATCATGAGGCAAAGTTACTCAGACCACAGCTTTAACCTGGCAAGGACAAAGATCTTACCAGCAGCAACTCATTGGAATTACTCAAGGAATTACACAGGGAAACGGAGCTGGGAAATTAAGAGAGCAAATCTTCCAGATCTCTTAACTGAAACAGGATTGTGACAACACAGATGTGGCTTCACAGACTCCACTGCACGTTCTCCAGCAGATCAAAGATTAAAATATTCAATCTCCAATTTAAAGCTGACCTATGCACAGCAAACTGATTTGCAGAAACTCAGATGTCAACAGTTGGGTTAATAAAACAAACTTCCCTCTGCAACTTCTGGAAATGAGGCCATTTAAAAGAAAATATCAACTAATACAATAAATAGTTTCGCAGTCTGACAACCTTTCATATACCATTTCAGTTTATTCCTACCACAAATTGATTAATACTTATTGAAAAAATGCATAGTAAATTGGTTTGCTAATCAAAGCAACTCAAGACACGGATTTGCATAGYAAGCAAGGATTATGCAAAGCAATGTGAGGTTCCTAAAACCTTTATCCACATGACTCGGAAAAACACAGAATCTGAGCAGGGTAATTACCACAGTGCTGGATTAATGCTGCTCCCTTTTTTTGTACCAGTATTTCAAGGGTTTCTGTGACTGACTCAGCTACATTCCAGTTTGAACTCTTCCTGGCTTAATCCCACATMGCCTGACTTCAGAAGGAGGAATTTAGTCACCGACTCCCAATTTCACAACCACACACTAAATCTGTCACCCATCATCCTCATAAAATACAACAAAACACACATTATTTTTTTTACAGATTTCTTTTTCAATAATCRCCCACATACAAGACTTTTATTATGCTACAAAAGCCACTGATCTACAGCTTATTTCARTGAGGTCGTTAAGCAAACATATGTGGGCAGAAAAGCAGAACCCAATAAAAGCTATTAGTCCCTGAGTGAGGCTCACTGTTTTATCAGTGCAGGCTCTCTTGCGTGACACTGCATGGCTGGCACTGCTGCCATTCCAATTAATTACAGTCACACAAACTAAATGCTTGCAATGGTGCCAGAAGAAGTTTAAATTCTTCTGGGAGAAAAAATTATTAAATACTTCTGGGAGAAACAAATAACAAATCCCTTTTGTTACTGCTACCCATGACAAGTTCAGTGCTAAACTAACAGAATCCAGTGATCAGATCATCAGGCTGTGAGCCTAACGAGGCTTCACATTCACACTCCTGTGCACATTAGCAAGTCAGAGGGGATCTGCAGAGCAGCTCTGTAGATCTGTTGGTGCTGGCAACTTAACACCCACACCACCACCTCTGCTGTAAATGCAATCCCAGTAAAAGYATTCCAGATTCACCGAAGTCCTGCTCTGAAGGCAATTCCATTGTTAGTTGGAGATGCCCCTGAACTGCATATTTCAGTTTAGTTTCACTCCAAAAGAGTAACTACACACATTCTGAGACAGGCCACTACAAAGTAAAGCATAGCACACATGAGAGCACATCCCTGAACCAACCCAAAACACCAAAGTAAATGCTCTCCATGTGTTCTGGCTTAGGCCAATGATCCCAAACCACATGCAAACACCCCACTCACCTCATAGTTCCTGGCATTGGTATTGGCTGCCTTCTCCAGCTCGATGCGGGCTCGTTTGTGGCTCAGCTCCATCTGCATCTTCTCTCGTTCCACCTGCAGCAGCTGGGATTTGGAGTGGATCTGCTCAGCTTGTTCCTCCAGCTGGCCAGTTCATGTGTRGAAAGGGACATTGCACACCATCAACAGCACTGCAATAACACTGTGCCTCCCACCCTGTACTGCTCAGCTGACATTCACTTGCCATTTTACAAACTATCACTACATGTGTGATACTTCTCACACCAGCAGATGGGGAAACCTGGATTTCAACACCACGCCCAGAAACCCACCCATTCAACCAAGGTGAATTGGAAAGAAATTAATTCCAAGTTCTTAAGTCAGAATTTCTCATTCAGTCTCTAGGTGTAGTCTGACAAAACATTTTTTATCTATCTAAAAAAAGGTTAATTATGAATTCCCCAAGCCTGATAAAAGTGCAGTTAGCCAAGAAGCCAGATCATACTCCCAATAAAATATAACTGCTGAGTAAAAGAACATGTTTTTCTACGACCTCTACAACATTAACTTAAGTTTTTCGTTCAAATTACCTGAGAGCACAGACAATACTAACAGAATTCCTCATGTCCTGGTGATGTACATCCAGCACACAGTTCATGGAGACTCTAACCAGAGAGCCTCCTCCAATTATTGCTGCCACCAGAGATGTAGCACAGACAGAAAACGCTTAAATTTTTGTCAACATTCCAAATGCAAAGCAGATTCTCATTTAAAAAAAAAATCAACCAAGCTTATTTTACACTTAGAGGCTGAAATAGAAATTATATTAAGATACAGAATAAAGAAACCTCATTCCAGCCTAATAAAAAGTCCCTGGGATCTAAGATGTCTATTTACTTTATGCTTTATGAGCCTGAAGCAGCTAACAGGGAAAAAAAAAAGTAAAAACCCAGGTGGATAAAACCAGAAGTGGATAAAAAAGCACAACTGGTTTGCATATCAAAGCCACASCACAATGCAAGTCTCCTGAATGTGTCCAGGCAAAGAAGCCTTTAAATCATGAAAAAGGTAACAAAGTGTCTTACTAGAAAAATGTTAAGATATAAAGCTCCTTTGTTCAGCAATATGAAAACAACTTAAAAATTAATTTCCTGAGCTGGAACACAGATATAACTAGCAGGGAATAAATTCAAAGGACCTTTCTTAAACTTTTACAAAACAGAAATAAATCTGTCTGACACTTTAAAAATGAAATATAATCTGGAAAAGATTCCATAGTGTTGACATAAACACAATAAAGGAAGTTTGCTGTCAATTTCAGAAAGAACGGTGAGATCTGAATGAAAGCAATGCCCACTGCTGGAATGGAAACGAGCACACAAACACACTGAAGTGAGGCTGCAGGAAATCACCAAGATGAGGATTCCTCACCTGCATCCTCTGCTGGTACTGCATCTGTAAGGAGCTTTGAGATGATCCAGGCGTWGCCAGCCCAGACATCCCCTCCATGCGCTGTGAAATGAAGTTGTTGAGGGATCTCAGGGTRGAGAAGACAGTGGTATTACTGTCCAAGTCCTCCATGGCTCTGAAAATAGACAGAAAATCATCAGCAAAACATTCAGAGCACGTGCTTGGCTAAAGAAGGATCCATCACTGCCCTGAGGAAACACAAGGCCTTCCAATCCACAGAGTAAAACCAATCTGCAAATCACTGCTGGCATCCACAGGAAAAATAACACAGCCATGCTGAAGGTCTCCAAAATGAGAAAAAAGATGCAAGACAGCCTTTTCTTSTCTGACCAAACTAAACCAAACTCATTGTTCTGCCCCCAAACGTTTGAGGCTGATGGAGGCAGGAGAACCAACTCCACAATAGCAGCAAACCCTTCCTGCTACACAACTTGCTCCTGGTTTCCCAGAAGCACTTTGGACTCTAATTTCCAGCAAGAAGCCTTCCCAAGTCCACTGATAACTTGTATAAGTGAAATTGCATCTCATTATTCACATGTAAGTTTTTGTAACTCTTCCTTCAAATTCAGTAGGGTGACAACGAAAAGGGTAAAGACAAACCAAGCCCGAAGCTCAGCGAAGCTGCAAGGTTTCCCAGATTTCAGGAAGACTGAAATTATGTCCTCCAATTACTGCACGCTCCATAAATCCCCAGAAACACTGAAAAAAGGTTCGGGACCAGGAAAAGCAACCACAACATCCCACGGCTTGTACCACAGACAGAGTTGGGGCTACCTTCGGGCTCCGGCACTCTCGAGGTTATACAGCACTTATTGTTTGCATTTACAGCATCACGAGGAAGAGGAGTAAGAGCAAAATGGAAAAGTTTATTCAAACTGAGCCCCGGAGTACCAAACGCACCTGCCAACAGGTAGCTCCAGCGAGCCTGTTCCCAAATCTACCAACAATCAAAACGACACGCAGGTGTGTGTCCCGGGCCCGGTCAAAATGAGAAACACCCGTGGCCAAGAGCGGGACACCCGGGGACCCCGACAGCGGCCGCGGCGGGCAGGGGGCGGCTCCGGGCAACGGGGGGCTCGCCCGCAGGACTCCCCGGAGAGGAAGGGCGCGGTGGGATGGGAGTTCTCCGCCCTCCCTGTCCCCTTTTCCCCCCGTCATTCCCTCATTCCCCTCATTCCTCCCGTCCCTCGCTCTCACCGCCGCGCCGCGCGCCCCGCTTGGATCTCCCTCCTCGCCCCGCCCACCAGATCTCGCGGGAACTCCGCGCCCGCCTCTCGCGAGAACAGCGGCGCCGCCAGCCGTAATCATGGGATTGCACGCGCAGCACTCCGCGCGCTACCGTAATGCTCGGGCTCCCCCTCAAAAACCGCCCCACGCTCTCCTGTTCGGGCAGCAATCTGTGAGCAGACCCAAACGAGCTGTTTAGGATGAGAAAAGCCTGGGAGTCATAGAAACAGTCCCTCGTATAACTCACGCCACAGTCAGCCTGATAAAAGCACTATTTCATTCAAGCACTATTTCACAAAAGCACTATTCAAAAGTTGTCACTTTCAGATAAGGCAGAGGCTAAATTTATTTGTGCAAACAGATTTCCGGCAATTCAGTCATTCTTCCTACTGGGATATCAGGGATGTCTTTTCTTTTCAGCTGAGAAACATCACTGGTCACACCTAAAACATGACTGAAGATACTGGGGAGATGATCTGCATTGTGATGAGTCTGTCCCACTGCCATCGACTGGATTAATGAGTTAATTGCCAGGAAGCAGCAATTCCTAAATATAACCTGTGTCTATAGGAAAGGCAGCAGAGCCATGAACRCTCCCAAATCAGCCGTGTTTCCCACATGGCTGTGCTACAAATCCCMCATGAGGACACAGATCCTGATGTGCACAGAAACACACATTTTCTATTTTTACATGTGCTAATAAATTTTCCCCACTTCTAAAGGCACTAAATTGGCTCAAACTCCTCTTGCTGTTCTCTCATATTCTAACAATCACTTTATGGTCAGTCTCACATATGACAGCATTAACAGAGCAATGATTTTCAAGCACGCATTAAAAACTCAWATAATCAGCATTTTATTTTTCATTTCCATTACTCTAGTCCCAGAGGTTGCCTTTTAGATTATTCATCTCCGTTCCCAACCATTTTGTCCAGAGGTATTTGAAAAGCCTGATGAATTTCAAGAAGAGCAGCAAACTTTCCCAGGATCTTAATGATGGGATTTTTCTTTAAACACCCACAAAATTCAGGTTTCCAATCAATGTCTGAGAATCTGCAGTTCCCAACTTTCATTTCCCTTTGTACAGCCTYGCCAAGTAATAAGATTCCGCAGAGTCCTTCCGGCTGGCCTGAGGCTTTATAGTTCTCACATCCTGGAACTGCTCCTTCAGTCTGTTTTGCAGAAGACGGGCCTCAGATCCATCCCAGAACTTACAGAGCATCGTTCCTTTTGGCTTTAAAATGCTTTTGGATAYATTCAGAAGGCCTAAACACAGATTGATCAGCTTCTGATGATCCATTTCTTTAATGCCTGTCGCGTTGGGTGCCATGTCACTCAGGATGACATCCACCTTCCCCGCAGGAAGCACGCTCTGGATTGTCCTCAGCGTGCTGGGGTCTGCAATGTCAGCTTCTGACAGGAAAACAGCTCCTTCCAGAGGAGAAATCCGCAGSAGGTCAACGCCAAGGACAAATCCGATGGGGACAGTGGGATCTGTAAGGACAAATGACACAGGGAACATTCAGAGTGGCTGCAAACAACCTGCACATGCATGAGCTCTGTGCATCACCTGCCACAGCTGCCTTCTCACCCCCAGTGCATCTGCATGGAGAGTTTGCCATAAGCTCATCTGTTCAAGACATGGAAACTCAGCCACTTTGCATAAGCAAGCATGATTTTTCTTGGTTTTTTACTGCTCTTTCAAGGCTGACAATCCAGAAATCCTGGACAATGGTGCAGATAATAACAACTCATCTTGTAAATATTAATGGCTTCACCCACATAAACCATGTGCAGCAGTTGCTTACATTTTTCGAGAAGGGAAATAATATTTCAGATAGGCCAAGGTAATTGCTGTAGGTCACAATTTCAGAACTGGATGAAGAGATCTTCCCCACAACAGCTAATGGGAACACTAGCACCACACGGTCTGTTTTATTTCATAAACACAGTTTCTCCAGACCATATGAAGACTTACTAGGCACATCATTTCATGTTTTTATCAGTGACTGGAACTTGCCCTTACCCAAGTCCATACTATTATCATCGTAGTATTTCCTTGATTTTACAGTATTTCAATTTAGATTCCATTGTATTTTATGGATCTSTCACACACTTCAGGAGGAGTATCTTGCCCATCTTGCCTGCCAAAAATATRCACTTACCAGTGCCTAAGGCATTGACTCTCTCTACAGCAACCTGGCTCCAAGCACCAGGTGCTGCTCCACAGTCAAGAACAGAAAGTCCTGGACGAAGAAGACGGAGCTTGTCATCGATTTCCAGCAACTTGAAGGCACTTCGACAACGGTAATGCTGCTGCTTGGACGCCTTGACAAAGGGATCTTTAAAGTGCCGCTCCAGCCACCTCTGCTCAATTCCAGTTTTCCTCAGAAACCTCACCGTGGTGTGCAGGCACCTGCTCATCCAACGCTGACAGTTCCTGGGAAGAGAAACAAGTCAAGAAGTCAGCACATAACTACTCCATATTTGAGAAGTTTCTCTGGTAATTAACTCCAGCCTACACTACWGGCAGCCCAAGGAGGGTGTGGAATCTTTATCTGGAGACATTCGAAACAAACCTGGACACTTTCCTATGTCATCTGCTCCAGGTGAGCCTGACTGGGCAGGGAGGTTGGGATCTCCASATGTCCCTTCCAACTCAAACCATTCTTCTAAAAAGAAGCCTCCAAATTTGAGATTTTTGGCACCTTTACTTATCAAGTTCAACCACGACAGCAGGGCCAGGTTTTGGATGAGGCCTCACGGGTCATCCTGAGCTAATGGGGGGAAAAAGAYCCCACTCCAGCTTCTGTTCTGGTGTTTTAAGGACACGACACGGCAGAATGATCCCAGCACGGTCCTGTGCGGGGCTGGAAGCTTTCTTGAGCCCCTCGGAGGAACCGGGGGATGCCCGAGCTCCCGCAGGCTCCAGGAGGAACAACCAACAAGAGCCACAGCCCCCGCCGGGGCGGAACCGCYGCACAGCCTTTCCAGCACCCACAAACCGCAAACATTAACCCATCCCCGAGAGAAACTCCAGCCGCCGGCACGAAGGACACGCCACTATTCCCGGTTGGGCCACCGGGATCGCCTTACCTGCCCCCGGCAATGGAAGCTCCCGCCGGGCCCGCCATGGCCGCCTCAGCCCCGCCCCGCCCCGCCTCCCCTCACGGCGGCCGCGCGGGAAGCGCCGAGCGGGCTGAGGGTGACAACGGGACATCGGGCGGGCTGACGGTGACACGGGTGACACCGGTACGGGCTGAGGGTGGCACCGGGACGGGCTGAGGGTGGCACCGGGCGGGCTGAGGGTGGCACCGGGCGGGCTGAGGGTGGCACCGGGACGGGCTGAGGGTGGCACCGGGCGGGCTGAGGGTGGCACCGGGCGGGCTGAGGGTGGCACCGGGACGGGCTGAGGGTGGCACCGGGCGGGCTGAGGGTGACACCGGGACGGGCTGAGGGTGGCACCGGGACGGGCTGAGGGTGGCACCGGGCGGGCTGAGGGTGGCACCGGGCGGGCTGAGGGTGGCACCGGGACGGGCTGAGGGTGGCACCGGGCGGGCTGAGGGTGATACCGGTACGAGCTGAGGGTGACACCGGGCGGGCTGAGGGTGCGGGGCCGAGGTGCGCGGGACACGGATGGCGGTGCAGGGGGGGTCAGGATTTGGGATGGGGGTCAGATATTTGGGGAAGGGGCGCTGGGAGTCAAGGATTCAGGAAGGGGAGTAATGATGGTGATCGAGGATTCAGGGAGGGAGTTTTGGAGGAAAAAACTCCAAAATTTGGGGTGAAAGGATCAGAGCTTTGGGGAGAGGTTTCGCGGGCTCAGAGATTCGGGGAGGAGATTCTGGGTGGACAGGGGGGTCAGATATTTGGGGAAGGGGCGTTGGGATTTAAGGATTCGCAGAGCGGGTAATGAGGGTGATGAGAGATTCAGGAAGAGAGTTTTGGAGGAGCAAGGATTTGGGGAGAGGGTATCAGAGCTTTGGGGAGCGGTTTCGGCCGCTCAAGGATTCGGAGAGGATATTCTGGGCGGACAAGGATTTGGGGAAGGGATCAAAGATTTGGGGAAGCGGTGCTGGGAGTCAGGSATTCTGGGAGAAGGTGTTGAGGGTGATCAGGATTCGGGGAGAGGGTTTTGGAGTAACAAGGATTTGGGTAGGGGTAAGCAAAGCTTTGGGGAAGGGTGCTGTAGGAGCAGGAAAGCAAGGGGTAGTGGGAGCGTTAGGGAAGGGGGTGTTGGTACTGGAGGACCAAGGGCTTAGGGAGCAGGCATTGGGAAGGGTGCTGGGTATTTATGGGGTGAGGGCTGTCTGCACCCCCGGGTCCCCTCTGAGCGTGTCCTGCTCGTCCCTCGCCCAGGAGCCATGTACACATCCAGACTCTTCACCCTGGTGCTGGTGGTGCAGCCGTCCCGCGTCCTCCTGGGCATGAAGAAGCGCGGGTTCGGCGCCGGGCTGTGGAACGGCTTTGGGGGCAAGGTGCAGCCGGGGGAGAGCATCGAGGAGGCTGCCCGCAGGTGAGGATGGGGCCAGCAGCCCGGGGACAGGTACGGGGACACGGGTGGAGGTATTGGACAGTCGACGGTGTGCTGCAGGGGGAGGTACCGTGGCTTATCTGATCAGTGACATCCTTGTGGTACCCACCAGAGCAGCCTTGAGCCATCTCTGAACAGAGAGTTACCTGCTCCAAAGGTGATGGGAGACTCTATAAAGAAACAGGATTGCTCCCCCTTCTCTGTCATCTGCAAATCTTTGAACTGTCATCCAATCTGTGAGCAGCTGGAACTTGCCAAGTGTCCTCCCTCCCATCTCCTGGACCCTGATCCAAACTGAGATTGAGTCTGTGAGTGGTGGATGAAGGTTCTTGCACTGTTCAGAGAGATGCAGGGTTTAATTTTAGCTGCATAGCAGAACCACAGCTAATTTAATTTAAACAATAAGCCAGACTGTTTATTGTTTAAATTTTGAAGCTGTTGAACAGATGCCACCTTTCAGTAGCATYTTTAGTACTGCATGAAATGTAATGACAAAATAGCAGAAATTCTTAGGGGTCTCTTATGAAAAGCACTGTAGAAATTTAKTATTTGATTGCATGCTGACATTTTAAGTGCTAATGCTGAGATAGGAAATTGAATTTCATCAGTAAAAAGGCACRGTAATTTTTGAAACCTTTAGTACTGATTTCTTGTAATTCTTTCATCTTTCTGGCCATTAAAATGAAGTAGCATATCACAGCTGAATTGCTAAACTCCTCTAAAAATTGGGTACCTTGTTCTTTACATGAGTGTTGCTAATACAAAGGCGCACTTTGCCATCCCCTCAGTTTCTGATATATGCCCAAAACTGCCTTTGCACCTGCAGGAAGATGAGTGTTGGAGTGCTCAGGTGGTACCCAACAGTTTCTGCCCTCAACAGCCTCCTCAGCTGTGCCAGCACAACCGCCCGGGGTTCTGTGGTGAGCTGGTCCCAGGGACAGAAGGGTCTCTGTGCAGATGTGCTCCCAGCACCACGTGGCCTCAATGTACCTGACACTTTATCGTGGCTTTTTGTGTCATTTACCATCTCTGAGTGGAGGGAGAGATGTAAGTTTTGTCTCTTAACATTTGCTAAGCTTACACTGCCACTGACTGTGGAGTAAATCTAATGGTTGAATGTAGCACTGGATTTCCTTGGTGCTGGCCYTGAGTTTGACACCAGATCTTCTGTTCACACAAGATGTCAAGTGCCACCATTTTCATCAATCCCAAAGCAATGTGCTACAGCTCTGCCAGCACCTGCTGCTGGGGACTGTCCCCATCCCTTCACCTGCAGTTTACTCCAGAATGACMCAACCAGCTCCTGCTGAGGTCAGCTGGGCAGGAAGCTGTACCCAGAGCCAGGACCAGCTGGACACACTGACCMGCTTCCTTCCCCAGCACCCAGGGCACAGCTCTCCTGCAGGAAGCTTCACAGAGTCCAAATCAAACTTCCCTGGCACCATCTCACTGCACTGGGAGTTGAGGTGTCAGGCTGTGGTTCCACGTTGCTCTGTCTCAGCTGGATTGCCAGAGGCACCAGGTGTGAAGTGCTCTCTCAGAACAGAAAGTTAAATATTAAACCAAAACATGAACAAAAGTTCCCAGTAYCAGTAAGATTTCCATCCTCTGCTGGGTACAGCATATTCCCACGGGCACCTGGGCAGCTCCTCATTGGCACATCTTGTAAGGGGAGCATTTAGTGAATGAGTTATTTCTAGTTTGCCACCTGTAATGTTTCCACTTGCTACAGACAGAGCCAAGCAGCTGACAGATAAATTGCCTGGAGAACTGTAGCAGTGTTGTGCTTTGTTGTTCAATTATCAGTGCCTGTAAAAGGAGGCTTTTAGAGTCATTGCTGGAAAACTGCCTCTATTTTAGACATAGATAGCTTCTCAGAAGATAAACTAAAATTAGCCGAGACATTAAGCTGAAGTATAATTTTAAAAGATGGGATCCATGAAATCAATGCCAAGGAAAGCTGGAGCCTTAAAGTCATTTCCATTACATTTTAAAATWGTTGTTACTGCCAAATAGGCAACTACATTAATTATTAACTTTAACTAAAGATACAGTTTCAGAGTATTCCTTATTTTTGTACATTAGAAAAACCATGACTAACTTTCAGCTCTGCTGCTTCTGTTCAAGGGAGATGAAATAAAAAAACCCTGAGCGCAGAGCATAAAGAGAGGAAATAATTGAATGTGCTTCAAGTAGCTGTGCATGGTGGTGCGTGGAAAAGAGCTGGCACAGCTCTCCAAGTGCTCTTAGAAGTCTTGCCTTCTGGCCTCTCATTATGCTCAGTGTGCTTCCCAAGGAGCAGAAAGGCAAAGTTTACACAATTGCTTTGTGTTTTTTACGCTGCATTTGAATGGGAATTGGGATTCTCAATGTTTTGTGTGCAAGTGGTGTTATGGAATGTGTAATTTAAATAAGCTTCAGTTTGCCTCAGAAGTAGATGATTGTCTATAGGTGCTCCTTCTGGTGTTCATTATTGGCTTCCCCACAATTCCAAAAGCTTTAGCTTAAAGTTGGCAAAGCCTTTTGCCTGTGTGAAGTTTATCTTGGAGTTCTGAAGCCACACCCAGGTACAGTCACATGACTTCATATACCCAGTTCTCACYCACCTCAGGAAAGGTCAGCATGTTACAAGGACTAAGGACTGTAAATTATAATAAATTATCTATTTTCCTGGATCTTCCCCTTCCATTATAGACTGTTTTCCTACCAGGTTCAGGAGCCAGAAATAACACACGATTCCATCCTGGCTCCACTGTGGTGTAGGGAGACTCATAGTTTGGTGCAAGTCAGAACCCTGCTCTGTTGTACAGGGGCAGCTTTCACCTTTGGTTCACTGGAAGGGTTTTGGATGTGTGAATAAAGCTAATGACTGCATTCTTCTCCTCCCAATGCTCACTTTCATGTAAAGAAGTCATTTTCTTTGGCAGGGAGCTCCTGGAGGAGAGTGGACTGACTGTGGACACCTTGCAGAAGATGGGTCAGATCACATTTGAGTTTGTGGGCAACTCTGAACTCATGGATGTGCACATTTTCCGGGCAGATCACTTTCAYGGAGAGCCAACAGAAAGTGAGGGTAGGTGGCTGGTGGAGGGAAGAAATGATGTGCATGCTCTTCTGAGACAACTCTTATGAAATGGAGAACTATTCATGCTAAAATGCCTCCCAGGAGGCAGCTGGGCTGCAGAGGGAAGCTGCTTGCTGACCAATATTCACAGTGTAGGCAGCAAAAATCCATGAGAAAGTCCCATGCAAAGTTCTTTTGTTTTCTCCCACCAGAAATGCGGCCCCAGTGGTTTCAGCTGGACGAGGTGCCATTCCATCACATGTGGCCAGATGACAGCTATTGGTTTCCTCTGGTGCTTCAGAGAAAGTTGTTTCGTGGCTATTTTAAGTTCCAGGGACAAGACACCATCCTGGAGCACAGCCTGAAAGAAGTGGAGGAAGTTTAAGAAAGCAGAAGCGTTCAGCCCACGTGCTACTGCCCACATTGGGCTACAGCACCCTGAGTATGATCTCCTTGCTCATCTTTCCAGTAAAGGAGACTTATGGTCCAGATCACTGGGAAGTAAGAAAAATAAGGGGGTTTCTWAAAGCAGAAATCATAGCAACGAGATTTTCCATGCTGTGAAGTCCCTGGCTGTGGTAGGCTGTAGTGGTTATGTGATCACAACCATTAAAAAATTAAGTGTTAACCCTTTTCAATAGCTTAAGCTTTTCCCTCATGAGTGGATTTTTTTTTAAATTAAAATGTTTTTTTTAGTAAAAGCATGTGTTGTTCTGTTTTAATGATGCTGTGAAAAGCCTCTTGAAAAGTTCCAACAAGAGATTCCTTCAGGGTTCTTCAGCTGAAGGCRGCGTGAGGTTATGGGATTCAAGAAAACAGAAAGCAGAGGTAGATGTACAGTCCTGTGTCAGCCCAGCTTTCACTGTTGCAGCTCCTGCTGTGAAGTTGAACTGTTTGAGCATTTCAGRTAAAAACACACTGAACAAAATCAAMWTSCAGCAAGTCCCTGTTGCAAAGTGCCATCCCCTGGGGTTGCAAGCTTTGCCTGGGGCAGGAGCAGGTGATGTCAGCCCAACCCAGCATGGTGGGCAGCAGAAGTTCAATCCAACCATGCCAGAAATAACACATCACATATGTAACTTCTTACACACGTTTGTTTTTTTTTAAACACTTTTACAGACATATAACACATACAGATAGAATCTTGGAATGTAACGTAGGATTTGTAAACATTTCCAGTCTACCAGCTGTAGTAATAGTTCTTTAATTCCTGCATTTGGATAAAGTGCTTCATACATAAGGCTATTTGAGCAAAGCAAAGATACAGGATATTCCAGGCAGGCAAAATTCACATCCTCTGATCAATGTTTGCTTCCTGTCTCCCTCCAGCAGTTTTATACCACTCAAAATGCCCTTCTTCATCTGCTCTGCAAGCCACAGCTCAGATTTAGAAAGATGAATTAACACYTTAAAACTTTACTTTTCCTTTTGTGCTGCACATTTGAGTTATTTACWGAGATTTTGACACCCACCTCTGCTTCTGACCTGGCAGTGAGAGTTCCTGGCTGCTCYAACATAGAATGACTCAGGGCAAATAGGAGAGAGGATAATCACAAAAGGACAGGCAGCTTTTACTGGGTGTAGGACCTTACTGCCTGGTGGCAAAGGGAATGACTGGCAGCCAATACCTGTTAAATACCTCGGTTTATTTCCTGGTGGAAACTAAAYTGCAGGGTGAGACACAGCACATGACAATCACACTGCATTACTTTGCTCCTCCAGGAGGTTGGGTAGGAAAAGAGCAAGCATGGCTCAGGCTGTCACTTCTCTTTGTTATCCCCTCTCTGCAGACAGGTGAGTCCTTCCAGGAAGATGCTTTCCCCTGCCCTGACTTCTAGGTCATGTCAAAGAGCTGGGATGCTACTGYTTCTGCTGCTGTGAGACTGACATTGCTTAAATAAGTTCTGTCCCTGGCTGGTGATCTTTGTTTTTTAGTAAACAGCACAAACTGATGAGTGTAAATTAGCCTGTTAGAAACAGTAGGAATGACACCCTTGCATGGTCAGAGGAGAGTTAAAAGCACTGGAATGCAGCAAGGCACCATTGAACATGTTACAGCTTAGGAGGAGCAACTTGCCAGGAAGATGGCAGGAGAGGGAAAGAAGGATCAAAGATTTAAGGTATTGTAAATAGAGTTTGGAGCCTTTCAACACATGATACCGACAAAAAACCTGCATATTCCCACTTCACAGCTGGAAGTGGAGAAGCCCTCAGGAGTGACAAAAACATAAGAGCCCTTTTCAGAGAAGTTTCCAGGCAGYCTTTCAGGGCCTCAGGTGTTCACCACCCTGGTACCTCCAGGACTGATCTGACAGACGCTGAAGGCTTTTCCACCATCSCTCCTTTGAACACATCAAAGTCCCCTGACCTCAAGCACACACACGAAAGCTTCCATTCACAAAAAGCACATTAACACTTTGGCACTGCATCTTACAGGAGCATCAGATCTCAGATAGGCAGCACACACTCCTCACTTAGTCTGGCTTGGTTAGTGTTTACTGCAGAAGGCAAGAGCATGGAGGTAACTACAGCTGTTTTCCCCACACTAACTAGGGCAGACAGACAACTGAAATCAGCTTGATGGATCCTTGGAGTCCCTATTGCTTCCCTCTGGAGGAAGGAGGCTGTGCTTGATGCTGCCCTCCAAGTCTGACAGATCCATAAACTGAACGTAACGGCAGCAATGAAATCCCTCACACATTGAGGTAAACAAACAGTGCTATTTGCACACTGACCAGTCTCCCAGAAGAAAGGTTTGCAAACTAAGGGTTGTATGAAATAGTGTCTGCATGTGTTTAGGAATGAGACAGAAGCTTGACAGTCCAGTATGAAATAAACTCTGAAGRTGCCAGCAGCTGGATCAGCTTTGAGAATACTGGGCCTCAGTTCTTCAATACCTGGAAAACAGAGTAAAACCAAAACAAGAAAAACCCACCCAAGACTATCTTCAAAGACAAAGGGCTAACAGGGGAGGAATGGGTATTTTCTCAAAACAACATAATTTCAGTTTCTTGATAGGTTCTGTGGTGTGTGTCTATCATCGTTAGTCTGTGCACTTGGGACTGTACAATTCATGCTTTGAARAACAGGAAAGAGGAGTTAGTCTAAAGCCCTAATGTCATTTTGATGTTTGCTTTTTGAGGGGTTGCTTTTTGATTTTAAATCAAGTTCAAAAATTGTCATTTTTTTCTGAAAGTGAGAAGCACAAAATTCCATTCAGGCTACTCCTTTGCAACTGCTCCCACAAAACACTGCCCAGTCAAACAAATTMCATATGAGACCCATCATAAATTATCAGCTCTTGCCCCAAAACATACAGTATTTCTCATTTTCACTATCCACCACATCAGGTAAACAAATGAGGGAGGATGGGTCTGAGACTAAGCCAGCCATAACCAGCCAGCAGCTGCTGATAATGCCAGGGGTGAAGAGCATGTAAAAGTCTGGTAACACACTTTCCACACTTGAACCACAAACCATCTTCCTAATCAAAACAAGGTCAAGCAGAAAAACCTGTGTGCCACGCTTGAGATGATATTYTCTTTGTAACTGGACTGTAGAAACATTTCCCTTCCCTGCCAGTTAGTTCCAGCTTGTGAGCAGAATTTCTTCTGCAGGAGAGAATCAAATCTGCCACAGCCATTTGCAGTTCATCTGTCTCACTGGACAAGGCCCATGTGCAGGAGGAAAGTGAGTTAACATCTGAATTGTTGGAAAAAGCTCTTAATGCATTCTGTGCAAGGTTGGCTACACTCTGCTTAAGGCCCAGSACTCAAGGAATTCACCCATAGCAGTGTATCTACCCCATTTTGAGGAGTGTGAGTAATGGYTATTCAGTCTCCTGAAACCAGGCAAATAACTTATCTTGCTCCTAGCTGAAGAAACTAACCCAGAATTTCAGCCTGGGCTAGGAAGATTTTCATGTTGCACTGAATTTTCTAAATCAAAAACAAAAAAGAAACAATAACAAAAAAAAACCCCTCAAAAAAAAAAAAAAAAGCTTTTGTGATTGGAGGATTTAAATACATTTCCTGATAATGGGGAAATTCCCCAGTGGGAAAATACTGTAATGGTTCCAGTTTGACAGCAAGCACTCATCCTTGTTAATTTGCTTCCTTTTTACCAACTCWAAGAAAATTCTAAGAAACCAAGTCACAAATTCCCCTTTGGAAGCTATTTTGGCCCCAGAGAAGTCAGGTTCGGGTAGTCTTGTTCACACAGAGTTTTGCTGCAGACGTTTGCAGTTTGATTATCAATTTCTCTGGAGGATGTGCACCATTTCCCCTGAGGTAACACGACATGCACGTTCTCCCTTTTTGACTCTCCAGGGAAAGTCACTGGAGACACAAAGTGGAGAATGTTAAGTCCCTTTATCACAACCACAAACGGTTCTGAAAACCCCATTACCAAGGGCTGTGGTGTTTTTAGAGATGAGAACTTTCACTTAATTATCTGCTCTCCTTCACAAACACACTACAATGCTACCCACAGCCAGGAAAACTAATTACAGTAACATCCTGATAAATACTGATTTTTTGCTAATGAACTGTATCAGCATTGTGTTCCAGCCTGCTGGTGTAACAGGATACTTCTGATCTTACACCAAAGAAAACACCAGCCTTCGGGTCAGCAGCTCTCCAACAGACCTTAACAGCTACTCACCAGATGGAGGTCAGAACCTCCAGGAGACATAAACAAGCTACCTTGTGGCTGTTCTGCTCCTGTAGTAGAGTGGTTTACAATTAAGGAGTGTTTTAGAAGATTACTTCCTCATTTACGCCAGGGAAACTCCTCTGAGTTCCTGAACCCAGCTGTCTTTGGCCCCAAACTGAAAAATATGAGCAAGTCCCCAGGCTGCCCTGCAACCATGAAGGGAAACAGTCCATCCACCAGGAAAATCCCTGTCACACAGCAGCACAGACCCCTGCCCTCTGGCTTACAAAATCCAACCACTTCATTMATTTTGTGCTAAAGTCTAGCAGTAAGAAATCAAATCCAGACACCTACAATGGGATAGGGGATGGCTTTCAGCTTTCCTTATGCACACGCGTCCCTAACACAGGCCCTCCAAGGCATAAAAGGCATTTTATCTCCACTACAAGCAAGTGCTTCAGCTATCCTGCTCATCTCAGCACTTCAGAGATGTGGAGAGATGTGTCAGCACAGCTGCAGACAAACACAASTGGAGGACTGTTAGTACAAGATGCAGAGACCTCAGCAATTGCAGCACTCGCTGTGCCAGACCACATCCCAACCCCATGGGGAGTGTCTGCAGGATAAKGAACATCAGCTCTGCCCCAGGGCATTGCAAAATTAACAAATTGTCTCTGTATCTGTATGTTCTGCCCCACATCCAGTCTGTCTAAATCAGAGAGCAGCTCAAAGCAGCAATATTAAAAAAAAAAAAAAAAAAATAGCTGTTTGGAGGATTCATTGGAGGTAGAGGTCCCACCCCTTCGTTGATTGCCCTTCTTGCTCCATGCGGGATGCCCGGAACATTAATTGGAAAAGAAGTTTCCCTCTGGAGGTGACAGTGGTGGGSTTGGCATACTGCTAGATCCCACGAAAAGGCAGCTCAACTTCGGCTTCAACTCATTCCAAACCTTACTCATCTGTGAATGGAGGAGAGAAGGCAGATGTGACAACGTGGCAGGTACCAATCTCACCACACGGAATTGCAGCAGCAAGCTCTGGTACCCAGAAACACAACACAGATTTGCTGAAGTGTTTTTAGGAAGTTCATTGGAGCCAGATTGTTCCTTTTAGCTATGTGCAGCTCCCTGAAAATTTTCCTAAGCATGTATGGAAGGGAGATTTCCCTTCATCAAATTCCTTCACTGAAGGGATGGAAGGGAGCTGGAGGAGGAGCGACTTTTCTACTAGAACCAATGCAAGAAAATCTGTATATGGTGAATACTAAAGGCCATATCTAGAGTTTAAAAGGGAGCTTCTAAGTTTTAGAGCAAAACCCAGGAAATTTTCTTGTCACACAAACTCTGTATAGCATAACAAAAAACGAGATTAATCTAGCAAACACRCATCATTCATTACAGAATAGCTACTTCATGGTTGGGTCTTCTCCGACTACCCCTAAGGCAGAGCCAGCTACAGGGGAGAGAAGTAAAGAAGGAAAAAATAGCAACTTGCTGCAAGAAGACAGTGTTTTAGAGGGGTTAGAGGCCAATCCTGATCCTCACCCCAAACTAAAAAGACCTCAGGTAACTCCTGAGTTATGAAAAAGCCCAGTTGGACTGACTATTAGAAGATGAAAGCCAATGGGTGAAAACAAATCCATTGAAATTCTCCTTCATGTTTGGGGGRAAAGGATACAGTCCAGAACTCACCTCTTTGTGACCCTGAATCTGGGAGTTGACAAAGGCCCCCAAAATGTGAGATGTGAGAGGCAGGTAGATGTGGATGAGCTGTGTCTCCTGATGCAGGCAATACAGGGAGAAGTAATTCCGCAGCTCCATGGTTATGATCGCGTTCTCTTGCTGAAAGAAGAGGGTGCCAAGCACTTAMACCAGGTGAAAACAGCATTTCTTACCATACCAGCAATTCAACACACACCCAAAACCTAAAAAGGGCAGTTCCTGGACTTATTTGATCCTGCCACAGAACCAGTGACAAGCATTGAGGAAAACAAACACATTTTCCACGTGGCACAGCAGGTAGCCCAAATTCCCCAAAGCACAGGCTCCACTTTCAGTCCAAAAACTTTCTGCAAATGTGGCTGAGCTTCAGAGCAGCCCCACTAGAGATCCCAGAGCCACCCTCTGCTCTGCCAGGTGCCTGCCCTACCTCCACAATGCGAGATTCCAGCTGCTCCACCGATTCTGGCTCTTTGTTCTGCACGGTGGCACTCATCATCTGCTTCTTCATCATGCTGTACTTGTGCAACGCTCGCTGGTGCTTGTGCAACACCCCCTTCTCGTGCCTTTCACACAGATCCTTCAGGGGAAAAGAAAACAGCAGGTACACAGTGAGCAAACACGCAGCCAAGTACAGCAGGAACACACACGTGGTCACTTTACGGCATTTTTGCTTTCAAGAGGGTCAAAAATTGCCAGCAGCTGAGAATTTAAATAACCAAACTGCTCGAACCCAGAGCAGTCAGCTTAAGAGGCAACCTGGAGCATCACTTCTGCCAATATTTTGGATCTTATAAGGCCTCTTATCTTTTCTGACCTTCTCAGTACTAAGTGCTGACAATTAATTAAATCGCTGGCGCAATAATGTTCTTCARTTTCAGTCCCAGCCTGGGAATGTCAGGAGAGGCTGCCACACACAGTTGACCAAAGGATTARTGTTAACAAAATCCTGAACTTAGGGCTCCATGAGCAAACCAGTAACAATCTAGTTCACTGCTCTGACTCAAAAGCAGCCAAATCTAAAACCAAAAAGTTAGCTTATCCATACAAGTTCAGCCAGTCATATTTTTTAATTCCTTGCAGGGTTTGCTCTTTGGCAAGTTCTCATCACCAGACAAGCTGATCAGTAAGGCTACAGAGCTCCTTATGGCCAGCAGCCACTCCCCTCCCTCTGCCAGATGCCCAGTTTGCCTCTGAACTGGCCTCACAGACAGTTTTCCACCCAGTTGGCGTTACACCCTCTAAAGAGCACAAGCTTGCTCTAAACAACTTTCTTGCTGGCAGAAGAACAGCAGAGCTCACTTTATAGGACTGGAGTAAATCCAGGAAAAGGTTCAGCTTCTCCACCACATCATTCTCTTCCTGTTTACCCTAGAAAACAAGGAAAAAGTACATTTTACGTAAGCTTGGCATCACAGCCCTTCAACCCCCACCACGTGGGCTCCCTCTGCACTCTCAGGGCACATTGGAGCTTACACAACTGCATCARAAATCTCTCAGATGGCACTGGAGTGTTTAGCCTTCAGTGTGCAGAACAAAGACCTGACTGAGGCAGGAACAGCTTTTCCAGCTGACTGATCATTAGCACAAGAGGAGTTGGTTTCACAGGCCTGCGTGTCAGTCCTTTCAGAGCACTCTGCCTGGAATTCCTTGCTCTTGCAGATTCCTCCCATCTTTCATCTTCCCTTCCTACAAGATAACTAATCCATTAAAACTCTGAATACCTGCATGTTCCCCACAATAGCTCATGCATCAGGAGGCAGAGATGAGACACCAAGACAAATTTCACTAGTGGCTTTTTTTTATTTTACAAAATACTCTTTTCTTCCTGTATCAGTGGAGCTCTCTGGAGCATAAACTGGAGGAAAAGACCTGGCCCGACTGATCTACAAAAGCACACTGAGTGTTTTAGCACAATGAGATGAAGAGCACTGAAGACAAAACTATTGCTTTTCCTTCCCAGACTGTCGTGTTCTCACATTATTCTGGCAGTCATTACCACACTGTACACTTAGACAGAAATGTGGTGCTTCTGTCTCAGTRATTCTCATGTAATGTTTAAGTACATGAATGTGAAAATTTGATTCAGAAGTTAAGTTATTCTGGGTTCTCTGTAGCAGACTAATAAGATGGAACACAGCACTTTTGGACAGCTCATCATAGCAGTGAACTTAATGTGTGCAGTAACCATTTAAAATTAAGAAAGAAAGCAGGTTTTTCCCTCCTTTCCCTTGCCTGTTACATTTTTTCCTCATTTAAACACAGTCCAGGTATTTCACACAAGCTTGAACAAGCAGGSTGGTAGTCGAGGATGTGAGTTTGGACTGCAATCTCCCTCTTAACTCTTGAAGTGCTTATGTCCACAGAGCTCATAATTCAAGATGAAATTTCGGGCAGAAATGTACCTCACTCATGTTACAAAAAATAACAAAAAAGGAAAAAAAAAAAGAACAAAGTAAAGAACTCACTTGCTGCACAGCCTTATCTGCCAGAAGTGCAAATTCAACAGACAGACCCTTCAAGGCTTGTTTCAGAGTCCCCCACGTGTTGTTGTTCAAAGCAGCCCAGGAAGGAAGTGGGGTAGTGTCTGAGCCCAAAGCACTGGAAGATAAGCAATGGTCACATCTAGGAGACAAATTCCACTCAGCAGATAAAATTTTTTGCAAAGAGCAGTTCAGAGCTGCAGATCTGTCTAAACAGCTCACAGTGCTGAGCTACTACTGTGCCATCAGAAGTTAACTGTGGATACACTGTGGGGAGACATAAAAACACTGGTATCTGAATGGGAAAGTATTTCTGTTTGCTTCCCTCACAYTCTGGGGAATGCAGACTTAGTGGAAAGCATCCATTTCCTTCTTTTATAGAAGGAAAGATTGATTATGCYTCAATACAGCACGCACTGAAATACCCATTCTTACCAGACCATTTGCAGGTCAAACTTTGCACCAGTTTTGAGTTCTAAACCAACAATATAAACGTTCACACTAGCAAACCTTGCTCCTGCCAACCTACCTGAGCTCCTTCCCAAAAATGAGGAGGTCGGAGGCGTTATCGATGGCTCGGGAAGCGATCCTCTCYGCGCGGTCCCGGAGCTTATAAAAGCTGTTATAAATATTTCTGATCAGCTCCCTGCTGGCAGCAAACTGGGCCTGAATGTCAGCTGGGAGGAAGTCCTGAAGGAGTACAGAGGGGTTACTGGTGGATAAATCAGAGGTACACCACAGCCTGCAGAGMGGGAAAGGCTTCCCTATTGTGCTCCCTCCCTCACGCCCTAAGAACCCTGCAGAGATCAACTTCCCACTTTAGGTGTCCAAGTCAGTGTCAGAAAAGATACTGAAAATCTTGTTCATTCACAGATATGATAATAAATATAATATAATAAATTGTATTAAACAAGTCACACAAACAGCCCTAATTTTCAGAGGCAGAAAGATATTTCAAATACCCAGTACAGACAGAGTTGGCAAAATCTGCAATTCTGCTGCGCAGTTAAAATAGGGTTTTTGTGGGGTTTCAGGCTCAAAAATCTGATCTGATCCTGCTGGTAACTCAGGTAAAGGCAACTGAATTGAAAGCTGAGCTCTTTTTAACCAGTTTATCACTGGTAAAACCCTGAATTAAGCTCCAGTTGCAAAACCTTCAGCAAGCATTGCAGGAACCTGAACAACAACTTGCTTTGAAATWGCTCAAGGAACACAGTGGATGTGTATTTAAAAGTTGTCATAGCACTAATCACTGGGATAAAGAGATATATGGAGAACTTATAACCAACTTTTCCACAACAGTCCAAATTGCTCTCCCACAGGGAGAGGACAACAGTCAGAATGAGGGCATGAGCACAAGGGAAATGCATCAATCTGGATATTAACTTTTAAATTGTGCAATTTGTGCGTTTGTTTGTTATGCAAGTACAAGTAATTACAGAGAAACATGTTCTGAGCAGGATTGTCTGTTTAATCTTTATCATATTCACAAGCTGGAATTTAGCTAGAAATACCAGAYCCTTAAGAGTCAAAAGTTTATTTGATCTTTACAATAAAATTACAAGGCCCTCAAACTCTGGAAACAACTGTCTCCTACCYAAGGTCTCCATCACTCCACAAATGCCCTAACTGATGCACCTGAAAAAAAAAAGCCATTTAAAGCAGAATAACATGTTGGAAGAAATTCATATACATACCTTGGCCTGGGTAGCTAATCTGCAAGTCACAAATTCATCTCCTACTCCCTGGACCAACTCCCTTAGCTTATTCTGTACATCCTAGAGAAAATAYAGAATCAAATGAGCATGAAAGAACTATGCAACACGCAGGCAGCTCACACAGATGTATCACAGCAGAAAGGCACAACTCAGCAGATACAGCTTCACCCAGGTGAGGTTTAATTTAAGGAAAAGCATAATCTCTACTCCCATAAGAACAGTTCTAATTTTCAAAATACCACACTCTGGGCATTGAATGAAATTACATTCTGCTTTCCWTGAGGAAACACCTACTGAGAGAAAATTCTCTTCATCCCAGGGAGCAAACCCATGTAGGTTAACAGCAATTCCAAACGCTGTGCCCAGGGATGCAGTTACAGCACAACATGCAAGCTCAGGACTATTGCTAACAAATACTCACTGAGCCACTGAAGGACAGGAAGAGTTTCAAGAGCACATCTTCTGAGAAAGGGGGATGTCGAGCCACCAGGTTTATAAAACGCTTCAGCGCTCTCCTCCTCGATTCTATGAACTCTCGGTCGGCTGCAGGAAGAAATGTGGAATTTCAGTTTGCACCTCACATTTAGAGCTGCTCAGAAAGRAAAAAGAAAGTACTGCCACCAAAACTGAAGGATGTTCACCTAGAGTCTGTCAGCTCCCAAAAACAGATCTTTTAGGCTGACAACCTGAATAAATATTCCATCAAGCATTACCAAAATCCAGCATATGTATCTGCATGTGGTTATTTCCACAGGGAGGGTCAGGGAGGCCTGAAAGCCTAAGGTCTGAAACCTCMATTTACAAACTACAGGCCTACAGAGATTCTTCTTCATCTGAATCAACTCCACAGAGGGGATCCCAGACTGTTTGGGACTCCTGGGATCAGCATCCAGCTCTTCATACATGTCAGAAAGTATTTTGGAAGACCTGCACAGCAACCTGCAGTACATTCATCCAAAGTCTTTACTTGTCAAACTAAAAAAATTCCACTCCTTTTGCTAAAACAGGAGAAATACCAATCCAGCAATAACTGCAGTAAGGCAGTAAATCTAAGTTCCTGGAGTTCTTCAGGAACGATGAAAAATAAAACCAAAGATTGAAGAAAAAGAGAGAAGCACAAAGAAATTAAAGCAATGCTCTTATCCATGACAACACTTTTATCATGAAGGGTTATTACTCCTTTCCCTCAGTTTTGCTGGATGTCAGGACTGTCACAGGTGATCCTCAGTACAGCACCACCCACCAATTCATTTTTCTGCCATTGGGGTTGCAGATCATGATTTTGCTTTGCTCACACTCAAGCTACATGGACATTTCTGAAGTCATGGACACACTGCCCACAGGATGTGCCTCAGTTGGCTGCCATCCCCCAAAAGTCTGCACCTTCATCTGAAGATGGAGGGGAGCAGAGCCCATCAGGACCTGTGGAACTCTGCACAGGAGCACAGTGAGGACAAAGCACAGAGCTTTGTCCATCTGGCTCTGGAAGCTCCAAGAGTCACACATTTATACTAATCCATCAAATCCTGCAATACCATCTGTCAGTCCATTCATTACTCTGAAACAAGAACCACCCATTCCCTTCCCTTTTTCCTAACTGCAGTTTCCATCAAGCCCACTCCCACAGCTCTTCTCCATGCAGCCACTGAACTAAAGGCAATCAGCATTCTGTGCCTTATCACAGCTCTGCACTGCATTACAACTGTGCTTCTAGCACAGCTTGGTAACTAATCCTATCATTTTTTTAACTAAACTTATGATATGTGTGGGAAGAAATGCACTGGTGAGTGCAGGGAAATATCAACCACCAGCAGGGCAAGGAAATAACAGTCCCTGACAAATGACAGATACTGGAAGCTCCTTTCAGACATCCTCTCTCCTCTGAGATTAATCACAGAAGGTCTCTCTGCTCACAGKTGTTGCATGAAGTGGAAATTCTGGCTGAGAACASTGAATCAGGTTAAATTCAACACACAACCCCAAAAAATGTCTTCACAGCTCACATTCCATCATAACTATATATGACCAATGAAGCTTTTCAGTGGTGTGATTTTGCTTTGCTCCAGATCACTACACACCCTGCTCTGCTCACTGTTTACCAGTTCTGCTTTACTGGAGCAATGCATGGAATCCTCAATTGAAATCAATTATTAATTGAAACACAGCGAGTTTAGCACCATGGGCAGGAGAGAAGACATGGAAAAGCTTGTTCTTTCACAGATAAAGTATTAATCAAGACAGTTATGCAACATTTGAAATAATAAACGCTTAAAATCAGTGTCAATATTTGAGATTAATGGAAAATGTTCCTGAAGGAGCTTTGACATGCTTTCTGTCTTGGGACACTTCTTGGTTTCTAGTCTAACAGCTCAAGTATTCTTGAATGAACTRACACTGATTCCAGCCTCAGTTTTTAGTTTCTGGTTATGCTAAACATGTCATAGAATCATTTTAAGATCACTGAATCYAACTGTTAAACTAATGTTGTCAAGTCCAGGACTAAACAATGATCTTCACAACCTGTTTTTCTAAGAAGCAATACSTGCAACTCTGCCCTGCTCTTGTGTAGAATTATATTAAAAAAAAACTTAAGGAAAATCATTAAATTCCAAAATTCCACAAGAAGAAATTCCACTGAAATTTTACATTAGTATCTTACCTATAGGAATTTCTATGACAGCAATAATTCTCACCTCCAAATTACGTATTATAACCTCAAAGCTTTACCTGAGCCAAGCAGTAGCGAAGCCTTTCAACCTTTTAAACATTTATTTTCAACAGTATCACACTGATCATGCTTGCACCATAAAACAAAACCTCTCCAGCCAAAAATCAAGAGGCAGGTTTACCTCCCAGCATCCTCTTTGGTGGCAGAGCTGGCACCATGCGATAGGGGAACTTSTGCAGCAGCATCTCATGGAACACCACAAAGTCATTGTAGCGTCTGTACACGGAGCACTTGAATCGCTGCAGTCAAGGAAGGAAGAGGAGAATTAAGARGAGAATTCAATACCCAGCTTCGACAGCAGCATTTCCATCTTTTTTTTTTTTTTTTGGCCAATTTCTTCAATAGCTCAGTTTGAAATACCCAGCCACCTACACCAATTTGCTACATTCAGTTTTCACTGTCATACACCTGCTTTTTTACAGAGCTCAGGTTTCAAGCCAGTGAACCTGCAGACCATCCTCCACACCTCATTTAGATGTTCCACGCTGCAGAGGCTCAGGTCAGGAWGCCCCAGAAAAACTGTGTTAAATCTCAGCCCACACAACTGATCTGCTCAAAACCAGCATCACCCAGCACAGAAAAATCACTCAAGATTTTGCCAGCAGGAGCTGCATAAATATTTTTAAGAGGACACAGATATTCTTAAGAGGATGGATTCTTACCAAACCCAAAACTTGTTCATATTACCTTGCTGGAAACCTCATATTCCACATGTTTCAGAAAAAGGCCCTTCTTCTCAGGTATGAGCTCCACCTGCACACTGTCCTTGCTCAATAGCTCTTGGAGGGTGTGGGAAAGCAGCAGTGGATTTCCCTGGGGCGTCTGCATTAGAAACTGTTCCGCTTCCCTTGGTTCATTTACTGGAGGCTTTGCCAAATCTAGAAGACAAAAAGAAAAAAAAAAAACAAAAAAAACAATAGACCTGATAAGATATAGTAAAAGATGCAGCCTTAAAATATTCTGTTCCTTTGCTTGGTGCTCCCGGAGTGGTGCAACACAACCAGAAGCTCAGCCAGGCCACTCCCTTGGGAGGTTTTGCTGCTTCACACACGTTCACATCACCGGTACCTCCCTGCTCACAACACCCAGCAGCAGCCCCAATTATATCGAGTCAGAGAGACATCTCTGCTAAGCAAAAGAATCACAGGCCAAATTTGTTCTGTGAATCAGCTCAGAGGCCTGCATTTCCTGTCTGTCCAGCTCCCACCACAGCAGGATCTGCCAAAACSAACTAAACCCTTGCTCAGCACTTTTGGATCCTGCCTAGAACAACTCATGGAAGGAAAGAAAAATGTGTCATTTTACCACGCTGCAGAAATGTAATCCATTGATTCTGCACGTCAACCTCAGTTGACATAATTTTATCAAACTCTATGACAGTGTGCTACAGTGAGAATATATTACAATCATTTACTATGTCAACATAATTAAGTTCCAAAGAGGAGGGAAAAGGTTCCTAAGAAGGGCTACCAACCTGACAATTCCTCAATCACAGCAAGCTGTGGCAAAATCTTTCAAATTTTCCTATTCTATTCCACTGCTTGTAGCTAGAAAACAAACATCTCCTGACAATGAATTTGCCTATAACTGGGCAGCTTTGGGCAGTTTTAACTGATTCTCAGATACATGCAGAATGAAAGAAGATGGGTCTTAAAAATGTGACCCCAGAGAACAAACAACATCAAAGAAGGGGCAAAGCTGATGACTCAGAGTGTTCTCTTATCAAGTGCCTGACTGCAGCCCTTTATCTCAACCTGACTTTATAACCACAACTMCTGTAACCGTAAGCTAAGCTTRCATTGTTTTTCAAAGCCATCCTTTMTTTTCTRCCCATGCCACACACAAGAAATGGTGTGAAAAATGARGGTACAACCCTGGAATCTATTCACCCCACACCTGAGCTCTGCTCTCCCACCTGGAGCAGGTGTGCTGCTTCCTCCCTGTAAGAGGCATTCTGTGAACAAGCTCTTATACAAAACAAGCCAAATCCACTGATGAAAGGCACCTAGAGAAGCCAGGTGGGATTCATTCTCCCTTCCATTCTCCCTTCCTTGCCATTGTGCACAAGTTCTCAAATATATCTCAATTCTGAGCACACAGACAATAACACTATAGAAGCAGGAAGCATTTCTTTCGGCTTTGATACATCGTTCAAAAGTTGTTAACTTCGTAACAGATTAACCCAGGCAAGATAAGAAGTCACATCCTTAACTGGAAAGCCCTGACCTCCTCCTGATAAGGATTTCCCACCTGCTCMTTCACGTGCTCTAGGCCCTGATAAATGGGGAAAACAGGTAATTCCTCAGAATCATGGCTTTGTAACAGACACTTTGCTGTTTGTTCCATAAAATGGCTTAACAAAACYAAACCAAATCCAGGACAAATGACCTTATCCCACAAGCCTCATCAGGCTTCAGATTCCTGTGACTCAGAGAAGCAAGTCTTAACACCTCTGCTTTAACACACTAATATATCACCTGCTAACCCCACCTATGGAGCAGCTCCTAAAATTTTCCAGCTACCTGCCAGAAGTTTGCARTAAAATAATGCAAACTAATTCAGTGTTGACATGGGACACTGCTGGATAAAGTGATAAAACCTGCAGAGCACCAGAGATATCCAGAGCTGCAGAGTTGTCCACCCTGGTAATTCTTGGGTTCAGCTGCTCAAGATACATTAATAAAATACAACAAGACACAGAAAATATTACTCCCCCAATCCACACACACAACAAGACACAGCAAATGTTACTCCCCCAATCCACACACACCCCTACGCAGAATTCCAGATGAATGAAATGCAACAAGACACAGCAATTGTTACTCTGACCAATGTGTAAACACAACAAGACATAGCAAATGTTACTCCCCCAATGCACACACACATCTCTACACAGAATTCCAGAGCCTTCAGAGATGCTCAGCCACTGGCCCACAATGCAGAGAGCCCCCCCCCCCCAAATGGGGTTACTCAAAATACACCCCAACCACTTCCCCAAGCAGTGCCAATCTGTACTAACACATCATCTCTTCCTGCCTGTTGATTCACTGTCCACACTTCCCATCTTTCTGCTGGACAACCAACAAAGCAGGGCTTTCACAGCACAAACTGCTCCCTGAACTGGGGCTCAGCATTGTCTAGTAAACTGCTGAAACCCCAGCGGTAAGAGATGGGCAACAGGAGAAAATGGGTGAACCACRAAACCCTCAGGGTTTCATCTCTAAGTCCCTGAACCTGCAGCATAATCAGCCAAACTGATGCTGAGGACTCTCAGGTTCATTACAGATCWGAACCCCATTATCCAGCAAAAATCTACAGAGTGAGGCCCCCCAGGCAAGACTCCACAGTCCTTTGACAGTTCAGCCATGCTGCTCTTTTCTTGGTAATTCTTCCCCAATTTTCATCAAGTTATTCTCTAAATTTGCTTTCTAAAACTCACCTACAGGAAATGTCTTCTCTTTATCAGCAGCTCACACTCTCAGCTCTCCCTGAAATTCTCTGCAGCCTCTTTACATCTCAACCTTGTCTAAATGTGTGAAACCACACAAACCAGACAACCATGCAAATAAGTTTGAATAATTACTGTTTAATTAATAACCTCAGCGTGTCAGGTATCAACAAGACAGTTACTCAGAGTAAATCTACACCCACAACCACTGGTCTGGGAACACAATAAAACTGCTTTGGAACAGCTGTTAACCTGCTTTAGGAATYGCTGATCATGGCATTAACACTAACMCTATAGAGCAATATATACTGGAGCCATTCTTCAGCCCATTTTTCATTCCACTTACTAAAGAGCCTATTTGGGAACAGCCTCAAGAGYCCTGGCCAGGAATGGTGGATAATAGTGGGAACTCATTGGTATGAGCCCCTGTGTTCAGCCAGTAAAAGGATTTACATGTATTGTAACAGAACACTTAACGCTTCCCATCACGCACTCTCTGCTGGAGAACAGCTAATTTTGAAAACATTCCCTTTGGTTTCAGCAGATCATTATCTAGTAAAGTTTATATAGAGACAGCAGCAAGTGGATACAGAAAGGAGGTATGGAATGGTCCCCTGGAACACTGGGAAGCAGACAAAATAAAAATCAGCTTTTTCCTGCAAGCTCGGCTTTTGCTACAGCAGTTTCTCAATCTGGTGCCAATAACACATCAGGACGTGGCCTGCTACAATTGAAAACAAGCTGATATAAAAGTTAAAAATAATACATGTAAACATACATATATATATATATAGCCTGCTACAATTGAAAACAAGCTGATATAAAAGTTAAAAATAATACATGTAAACATACATATGCAAAGAAGACAACAAGATGACAAGAAGTTTGAAGAAGCATTCAAAGCATGGCCTAACTTTTGTTTGGTCATAAAAGAAAACAGCTATGAAAACACTGCATAATACTTGGGTTGTTTTTGGTTTTTTTTGGTAACAAGTCAGGTAGCCTTTGGACTGAAGGGAGTTGAGAAACTCACCCAGAGAACAACTGCAGTAGAAAATTTCTTTACTTCATGCCATGTGTTTCACACTTTAGTTAGTGCTCAATGCTCATTACTCCATGGATACAACTGGGCAGAAATCAGCATTTTATGGAGTTACCATTTTTATCCATTTAAATGTCTAAAATCGTGTATTTCTGAAAGCCAGAGCTGAGTTCCAAGTACCTGAATAGCTGCTCAGAGGTTTTACAGGTGAGTAAGCACAAACAGTAGAGAAGAGCAATGCCAGGGCTGGAAGCACAGGTGGTAAATCACAACATTGATCTCYCTTTCCTATTTAAGCTCTGTCAATCAAATTTGGAGGCCTTATCTCCATTTCACAGATGGYTGATACTACCAACTCTTTATTACACAAGGTAGTAATCAGATAAATGTATTAGACATGCTTAAGCAGATGGTGCCACTGAATTACCTGTTATATTAGTAGYATATTTTCTAGAAGGAGAAAGGAGCCTGTAAGGAAGCAAAACCTTCAGGAAAAACAACCAAGATTTCTCCTCCATCATCACAGGCCACAGCTGAGCAGAGCAAAGGGGATCCAACCCACAGGAAATTCAAGGGAGTACAAAAACTGACCGGTTCTGTACACAGATACCTCAAATTTCTCCTTGGGAAAAATGARCCAGGAACACTAAAGCAGCAATGTAAATATCATTCATCAGCATTTCCCTTTCCTTTCTGTCTTCTCATGAGAAGCCTCAGGAATTATGGAAATGCCTTTYCCCCTTATTGTGTCAAACACATTCCTCCATAATTCCAGATTCCAGTGTCCACATCAGCCTCCCTGAAAGCTGGTGCAGAATTCAACTACAAATTCAAACAGATTCCCTTCTTAGTCTTCTTTTTTAAAAAATATTACATAATTTGAAATGCCTTAAAAAAAAAAAAAAAAAAACMGAAGTCCTACCAAAAAAAAAAGCAAACAAAACTTTGTTCCTATTAAAAGAATTACATTTTTTTAAATAACCACACACAACTTGTTTGGGTTGTTTTGAAGAATTTCAAACCATGCAATTCTTATTTGGAAAGGAGAAAAACAGAAGAATCAATCTAACAAAGCTAAGTGCTGAAAAGCTCTGTGCTCAACATGGAAAGCAGGTCTGTATTTCTTACTGGGCACGAGAAAAGTTATCATATTTAGCTTCACTCTAATTAATAGCCTCCTTCCTTCTCCTTCCCCACAGCTCCCTTGTAAATACAAGCTATCCAATGCCAAAACAAAATGAGATAAAATAGCACACACAACATCATAAAATTAGACCCTGGAAAACAGGCTCCATCCAACATTTTGTTTTTCTCCTTTAAAAAAGCCAAAACACCACCACCACAGCTTTCACAGTGCARATGTCAAGTATGCACCCTGCACTGGGTTTTCTGGGTTTTTTTTGGTTGGTTAAATTTTAATATTTCCCTTTGTTTTCGAGGTGTTGGGGGTAGTTCGGGTTTTGGGGTTTTTTTTTTGGTGGTTGGTTGTTTGGGATTGTTCCAACTAAGTTTCAGCTATTCAGCACTTGGTGCTCTTAAAGATGAAACAGAGAAGTTATGGCACAACTCAAAAATAGACGATTTAGTCCTATTTAAAAAGCACCTGAATTTCTGCAGTCCTTTGCAGCTGTGGGCCTCCAACTGCTTCTCCAACTACCACAATCCCATACTCCAGCAGAAAAAAAACTCCARCACCAACCTATCTCCTCAAATGTCACACAGAGTTACTGTGTGTAAAGAMCTAACCTTAAGCCTCCCGTCCTGTTCTTTTAAGTGTGCTGTTAGATCATCAACTGATTAATCTGATTTCCCAAGGCTGGGACACATTCCATTCACAAGTCAGCCCTGAGCCACAGACCCCAGCTGTAGCAAACACAATAAAGTGAGATGCAGCTGCTTTGAAGAAATAACAGGATTAGCAGAGAAAAATCCATCGAGGAATGTGCCCAAAGATTACAGAGACAAAAAGTCAAATTCTCACTAGGGAAGGGTCCCAGCTCGCAGTGGATGACTGCTAAACTGTACTGTTTCACAAAGTGTAAAAATTCACACAACAACATAACCCAGCAAGCAACAACCCAAACAACTGCTCCGAGAAACTTTCACAGGGGCATTTTAGCCTGACTACAACACTGGCAAGTTTCCACAACCAGCTGTCCTTATAGAGGTCAAGAACATCCCGTGAAAAAAAATACTTTTATCTTTGTTTTATTTCTCATCTTCCTTACTTGTTTCTCACCCTCCTGATTACACAGCAGACACTACAGCCTCCCAATGGTCTTTTCACACATTTCACAGTTAGAACAAGCTCATTCACATCCCAAATCCTGTTGAAAAGCAATCATTAAAGCTCCCCTGCTTTTGTACCAGTTATACRTGTCTGGAACTGGTAAATTTTTCTCCACCAACCTGCACCAACCCATAAAATCTGAAGACTGCGGAGAAATCAGTGGTCCTGTGCAAATTTTACTGTCTGTAAGTTCCCATGGGCTGCACACACACAGGTAAAGATTTCCATTAGCACAAAAAGAGACACCTGAGTCCCCACCCAGCCAATACACCTGGATTAGCTTCCTGCAATCATTGCAGAACAGATTCACGTGGAAGTAAAAGCAAAAAAAAAGAAAATAAAAAAAAGTCAATAAAAGCAACTCTGCAAAATTTACTTAAGTATACTGGACATTATACTTTTTTTTCTCTTTGATTGCATTAAAGTACTTCCAACTCTGCTACATCAAAAAGACATTTGCATGTGCTCTCATAGCGGGGCATCAGTGATACCTGCCAGGACTCTGGATATTTCAATCTTCCCAAAACACCCATTGACAAGCTGCTGATCTCCAAAAAAAGTTATACATGGGTGTAAAATTTCAAACATCTCTGAGTGTGCATCATGATGCTAGAAATAAAAACATTGCTGCATTCACAGCATTATTCAGCTAAAATCATTAGGCACTGCCTCTCAGCATTGATCACAGAATCTTTGCCAAAAAAAAACAAGTTTCCTCAAGAAGGCTGAGTAGATCAGAAAGGTACAGAAGCACCATCACCCGAAGTTAATCAGTTCAAGAATACTCTACTTGGGGACAACTGTTTTATCTCAATAAGGCTCCTGAAGCAGACGGTAAATCCATAACAGACATACCTGACCAAGCTCTCTCTTTGGTACAGTAGGACATTTTTTTTCCACAAAGGCTGCTGTTCAATATGTTACATCAGTCCTGGACAGAAATATKCCAAAATAATTTATTTATAAGCATTATCTGCATCAGGAGCATCRCAGGCCTAATATGAGCACTCTCACATTGGCTCCTGAATATAATCCAACCAAACCATTTTCCCCTGCATTACTCTTACCTACTCATCTTTCTTTCCAAACAGAGCAAAAAAATTACTGTTCACAGAGCAGGTATAAAACTTTAGCCACTTCAAAGAAAACTTCAAAGAACCTCGAAAAGTTTCCTTCAGTTTGACTGTTACGGAGTCTAACACGTTATTCCCTCAATTCACCCAGGAGCTCCCTCCATCCCTCATTTCGCAACGAGCGCTGGCAGTATTTGGCTGCAAGCTYCTTCATCCCAGAGCCAGCTGCACGCTCCTGAAACTCCAGTTTGGAGCTGGTGCTGTCCCCGCKGGCTCGGGTCAGGAGGAGCGGAGGCACAGGGACAGTGCCGCTGCTCACTGACCCGCTGCGGAACCCGCCCGGCTCCAACGTGCCCGAGTCCAGCTCGGCAGGCGGGGAGCAGGCACGAAATAAAGCCTGTCCAGCACRCAGGGAGCGCTCGGCCCCGTGACTCCCCACGGGAGAAGTTCTGGACCGCGCCCCGTGCCCGCGTCCAGCCCCGCAGGAGCGCTGCGAGGAGCTGACCGCCTGCGGCCACCGGGACAGCCACCGGGGCGACCTTCCGCCGCCCCACCGGGTAGGTAACCCAGGGAGCCGCCAGCGCTGCCGCTCTTTCCTTTCCTCCCGCGGGGCAGAGCCCACCTTGGCACCGGGAGGGATCCCCGCCGCCCCCGAACGGCACCGGGCCGTGAGCAGSCACCGGGCGGGCCGGGGCTGGCGGGGTCCCGCTGYCCCGGGGGGAGAGAGGAGGAGGCGGCGGCGCTTCCCCGCAGGTTTTGGCGGGGAGCGCGGAGCCCCGTCCGCTCTGCGGGCCGGCAGCGCACCGAGGGGCGGCCGGCACGGCCCCGCCACCCGCATCCCCCCGTACCTGCGGCCGTGCCCGCGCCCGCCGTGCCCGCGGGC